TACTGTTCTGTGTTCTCACACTGGAGCAGGACAGGGAGGTTGGGACTTGCCAATTGCCAAAGGGGTTTTGCTCATTGGCAGGAGATGGAGGGGAGATGAATGGCACTGGCAGATCTGGAACTTTGAGGCTGCTGTGCACTAGTTCATTTCTCCAGAGGCTTGGGAAGCTGGAGATGGTAGAGTTGATATCCTGAATCCACACTAAGAATTTAAAACAAAAATTTTTTTTTTTTTACTTTTTTGTTGTTGAACCCTTGGTGTCTGTCTAGCAAAAGATGTGGGTGTGCGTGAATTCACAGATGTGAATCATTGTTAACCAGTTGGACTCTCATTTCCTTTACTTGTGATTAAAAAAAGTGTCCCATGCCCCCATCCATCTCATTTGCTGTGTCTTGGGCATGTAGTAAGTCATGCTTCAATCTTTTTTTTAACTCTTGAGATCAAGGCTTCTTCCTGTACTTCCTGTTGCATGGTAGACAGGCGAGGCGGTGAAACACCTGATGAACAGAATCCACTTCCCAGGTCGGGTTGGTGATGCTGTGACATGTATGTATGTATGTCATACTGTGAGAGTTAGTGACAGGAGGCTGTGTATGGAGATCAGCACCCAGGTCGTCTTTTCTCTTAAGGCTGTCCTTACTGTACATTGCCTGCCTTGTTCAGGGAGGACGGCGCTGTCCACCTCATTGGAATAATGGACGCGCTCGGTGGTGGGTGGGCTTGTTTTCATGAGTGATGACGGCCTTGGAGAACGAAGAGAAATGTGTCAATCCAGCCATGAGGCATCAGAACTTATCTTAGATGGACAATAGGCATTTAATGTAGGGTATTTCCTCTGCAATTTCATTCTACTTTATTTGTGGTTTAACTTCTTCCCCTTCCACTTTTAGTCTGAATTTTGCAGTCTGTATTCTTTGAAGTGTGAAGTGTAGCGAGGAATATCAGGGCTCGTACAGCCCCACCTTCCTGCCCAGCGTCAGGATCTTGCGTCCTAGTCCCAGCAGTGTGCAGGAGAGACAGGGAGGGGCCTTCCCTGGGGAAGAGGGCAGGAAAGACCAAGGGCTAAAAATAGGCTGCTCGCTGCCCCCCAAGGTCAGACTGGGTCCTTCTCTGATAACTGAGCTCAGAGCGGTGTGTGTTTTGGAACAGAGAAGAGAAAAATAGATCAAGCCCTGCTAAATAAATATCATTGCTAACTATAACATTCTGCTGTATGTCCCAGATTTGAGAAACTTTCCCAGATTACTTGCTAGTTTGGCTGTGTGTCCTCTGGTCCTTTTTTATCAATGCATATTTTAAAATTAGTGCATATTAATTTTACCGTGTCCCCTAGTCCTTCTGGGGGATGTTTTATGGTGTCCATGTTCCTGTGTCCTCTCAAGTGCATTGCATGTGTGTCATATTAAGCTAGTCCCGTGTTCAGCTGCTGAGACATGCTAGGACTGTGAGTAGTTATTCTCACAGAGACCTTGTTACAGAGATCTTTTGCACATATAAAAAAGGGTGTGTCCCGTCTGCACGATAAGGTTCCTTACACTGACTTGCTAGCAGCTGCCCCAGGCAAGCTTATGCAGTGCTTACCCGGCTGAGGCTGTGATCTCACACAGGAGTCATAGTCATTGCAGCGCAGAGGGTCAGACATAAGCTCTTCTTCTGGTACGTTCTTGGTCCACAAGTCATTTCATCCCCCTTCTTTTTATTGTTTTAAGAAGTATGAATTTTTGCTCCACTAAGCTGAGGATGACAAGTCTTGAGGCTTCCCTAGCCTTCTAGGCTTAAAATCGAGGCAAGTGGACTTGCTCTGGTTAAAAGGGGCAAATGTCCTTTCTGAGCTACCTGGGATAACCAAAGGGGCCTGCAAGGAAAGCTTCAAGAAGTCCTGGAGATGCCTCTGCCTTAGGTAATTTGAGCTGCTTGTCATATCTTCTAACATTTTGTCTCTTGTTCTTACTAGGAAGGAGTTTCTGCCCTTTCAACTGGATTTTTGAATAGCTTTGTAAGGTTGTAGCTTTTGTATACCTCTGGGCTTGTCTCTGCCTTTTCTGGTGTAACCTGAGAAAGCTCCCTTCTGCCCCTCAGGTCTCCAGGATGGACTGGCCCCTGTGCTGAGCAACAGATAAGCGCTGTGTGGGGCTTGGCCTGTGTGGCTCATTCCATTCCTTTTATCTCAATTCGCTGGCTAAATATAGGCTCTTTGCTCTCATTCCTTCTCTCTCCCATCTCTGGGCAGAGGAGATGTGCTTGTATTGGTTTTTGCTGTGGTGGGCTGGGCTGGAAGGGCGGGTGGGTGGGGTGTGTGGTAGCATTGAGGCCACTGCTGCACTGGCCGGCTGGCAGGCAGTTGGGCCCTCTGTAGCGATGGAACCCATCTCCTTGGCAGTGGGGCCCACATTGCCCTTTGATGTCCAAGCCTCAGGGAGAAAAGTTGTTCATGCAAATCTTGCTGTTGTTTCATTTGGAAGAAGCCTAGCAGTGTTAGTGAACCGCGGGTACATTTTAGTTTTGGCCTTTCTTTCTTTGTTAGTAGGTGCCTGCCCGCCTCATAGAGGTCCATTGTGTGTGTGTATATGGTGGGGGGTGGTTGGGGTGGTCAGGAAGCCCACAGTCCTGTCAGCACTGCCTGATGCAGGGCAAGCTAGTCAGAAACCCACCTTCAGCTGGGGTTTCTCTCTCCACATTCTTAAAATAAAGGCCACTTTATTTCATATTTCTATCTTTTTAGGCGCGTCAAAAGTTCTATCAAACACAAGCCCAGTTTCGTGGCCCCTTGTTTCATTTTCATGCACATTAGTAGAGGAGGGCAAAGCAAACACAGGCCATTGGATGGTTTTCAGATGCAGGCCATTGGCTGGCAGTCTGCTTCCTCCACTCCTGGCTGAGCTGAGCCAGGAAAGAACATGGACAGCTGGCCCTTTCCTGACCCAGGAGACGGCCTCAGGGAGAAGATGAGGATGAAGTAGTAGGGTAAGAAGAGAGCTGAGTTTTTCCTCATGAGGCTCACGGAAAATATAGTTGACAGCAGTCAGGCCTAACATACAGAGATTGAGTCTGGCCTGGAGTAAACATGAGCTCACGTATTTATCGACTTACTCTTAGCTCTAGTTTTACCATTTAAAAAAAAAAAAAAAACCCAATAGGGAGCCAGATGTGGTGGTGCACACCTGTAATCTTACCATCCTGGGAGGCTGAGGCAGGAGAATTACAAGTTTGAGCGTTGCCTGAGCAACTTAGTGCCTTACTGAGAGACCTTGTCTTAAAATAAAAATTTTAAGGACTGAGGATGTGGCTGAATGAGAAAGCCCTGGATTTAATCCCATATTTGAAACCCAAAAAAAAAAAAAAAAAAAAAAAAAAGAAAACAAAGTTCCCTTGTATGAGCAAGAGATCCTTATTTAATGGCATTTGATAGCATGTTTACTGTTTATAGAAAGTTTTTATCATCACAGGGGGTACAGCAATGTTAGCAGAAGCAGATGGCACAGTGACTGCTGAGTGACTGTTACAGGAATGCTGCTTCCAGCTTCTCCAACATGGATGCCCTGTCCTCACATGTCTGTTAGAAGTCACAGTAGTCTGTGCATCTCAGCATGTTCACCTGCACGATATTTCAATTAAAAATGCAGTTTCTCAGCCCTGAGGTTATTGGTCAGCTGAGGAGCACTTGCCTATTGCATGCAAGGCTCTGGCTCCCATTCCCAGCCCTGCCTCCCTCTCCCCAAGAGAGAGAAGGAAGAAGGGAAGGAGAGGAAGAAGCCAGGCAGGGTGGTGCATGCCTGTAATCCCAGTATTCAGGAGGCTGAGACAGGAGGAGGGTCATCAGTTCAAGACCAGCCTGGGCTACAAAGTGAGCTCAAGGCCAGCCTGAACTGCATAGCAAGACCCTGTCTCAAGAAGACAAAAAAAAAAAAAAAAAAAAAAAACAAGCGAGTATACATAGTTTTTTCTCTCCTGTAGCTGTGCATGAACCTGTGCAGTCCCCTCTCTTGGAACCTGCTCCCTTGGTCCTCCCATCACTTGAGTCTTTGGGCCCAGAAACTCACAGCTTGATTCCCAGGAGAGCTGGCACACACTATTGCTGGGGGCAGACTGCATGGAATGTTGCCCTTGTGCCACTACCAAGCGGAGGTTGGGGCAGCTCTGCTCTCTCTGCCTCCGACTTTATTGTTCGGGACTTAATGTAATAATATGCTCCAGCGGGTGGGGAGAGCACATTAGCTTGGCTCTGCAGTTGTAAACAGTATTTGCTCTGTAAGTTCCCCCTTTACCCCTTGCTCTCCTGGAGCCTCAGCTACTGCCACCCCGTGTCCTTGCATATTCTAACCTTGGTTAAACCGCTTTTTTCATAAGATTGCTAGCATTTTCTGAGAGGAAAGTGGAGTGAAAATACCCAAGTCCCAAGAACCTCCAGCTGTGACATACAAATATAAAAATTGTTTAGTTTTCTTGGATCGAGGTTTTATCTAAGTCTGAATCAATCAAATTCTTCTCTTCTCCAGCCCTTTTTCTTCTTTCAAACCCTATTTGAGAACATACACACTGTGCCCAGGTGACAATCAACTCTCACAAGGCTCTTGACTCCTTCCTTGGTGGGGAGCCCTGGGAAGGTGCCACTGACTGCCTCTTGGAACAAAGACTTCCACGGTCAGTCTGGCAGGGAAGGGTGAGTAGGAAGAAGGATGCAGGTGTGTGTTCCTGGACAACCTGCAGGCTTCACCAAGGGTATTTTCGGTTTGTGTGTTTGCCTTCAGAAGCCTGTCCTCCTGCTTGTCTTTCTTTTTCTTCTATAGTTTCATGAAAAAACAAGGTAAGAAACCCCGCACCCCCCACCCCACCTGCATGCCTGCCTCCACCCTTTGTGATTTGACAATCGCAGTATTTTGTTTGGTACACACAACCTGCTCCACCTTCTGCATGTTGATTGGTGGCTGATGATGTCATGGTGTGAAATGCAAGCAGATTGCTTTCTTTGGGACAGGCTCCAAAAAGCAGACAGCAGAGCTGACTCTTTTGTTCCTCCAGTTCACAGTATCAGCTGAGATGGGCACGAGTGGAGCTGGGCAGAGGATGCACATTGCTTTGGTTGATTCACAAAGCTGTGTCTCCAGCACCTAGGCTCTGAGGGCTTCTCAGATATACACAGAGCCATTCATTGTTTTGCAGGAGAGTGCATGGTGCTTTTTGCACCAAAAAGATTTTAGTCTGTCTGCTTTAAACTTCTCTAAAGAGGAAGGTATTTTGAAAGAATCTGTATTTTCCTGGCCCAAGAAAGGGTAGTAAAAGGAGTTGATTCAGTAAATTTAATAATCACAAATTCACTGGTTCCTTTCAGAACTTAGGGATTCTTCCTGCTGTCAGTATATGTTTCTGCCATAGAGGAAAACTTCAGCTGGACAGTGAGAATTCTAACGTAGGGATTAAGGGGAATGGTACAGTTCAGTTTTGTCTCTGACCTAAAGAGTCTAATGAGCACAAGTTTCTGGAGAGCTTTATTTTTTGTTTTTATTTTTTGGCGGTAGTAGGAGTTGAACCCAAAGCTTTTGCACTGAGCAAGTCCTTCATAAATTTTTATTTAGAGGCAAGGTCTCACTAAAGTCACTAAACTGCTCTGACGAGGCTCAAACTTGGAGTCTTTCTACCTTAGCCTCCTAGCATGCTGGGATTACAGGCATGTACCTCCATGCCTGGCTAACTGTTTAGTCCTGAGTGGACCCAATGAGCTCTTCTTTTACCGTGGTCCTTCCTGGCCCTGCTGTGGTGCAGAAAGCAATGCCGATGATCCCGCAGAGTGTGCCCGGCTCCTGTCTGGCACAGTAGTACCTACCAGGGCTAAGCCCTCTCTGACTGCTGCTGTTGACATCATAGGTCAGGCTCACCTTGTGCTACCCAGCAGAATGACCACAATTACTGGGCAGCTGTCATTTATATATGCTCAGATCATCCACAAATCTCACCCGGGCCAGATACATTGAAAGGATTCTGTCGCAGTGCCAGGGAGGTCTCTGAACATCTGAAAAACCTTTCTAATACTTTTCATTTCTTGTTTATTTTTTTTTTTTTTTGGTCTTTTTTGTTTTTATCGGTACCAGGGATCAAACTCAAACTTGCAAGGCAGGCGCTTATGCCACTGAGCTAAATCCCCAGCCCTGTTTCTTATTTAGAGACAGGGTCTCACTGTGTAGTTCAGGCTGGCCTTGAACTCACTGTTGTAGCTCTGGCTGGCCTCAACCTTGTGGTGATCCTCCCTTCAGTGTGCTGGGATTATAGGTGTGGTATTTTTTTTTTAATTTTGATTTTTTTAGGTTTTATATATGATTATGACCGCAAAGGAGCACTTGGCCTTAATAGCCATTTCCAGAAGGCGTGGTTGGAAGAGCTGCACCCCTCTGATGAAGTGGAAAAGTGTGCCTGGCAGTGCCGCTGGCAGGACAGAGGCCCGGGTACCAGAGGCCTGAGTATGTGTCTCTCCATCCTGCAGAGCTGACCTTGGCGGGGCTGGGCTATATTTACTCTTTTCCAGACTTTGATTCGTTGGGTGAGAGGAAGGCCTGAAGAGGGCTCAGCAGCCACAGTCGCTCAGCGCCTGGTCTTCCTTTGCCCTCTTGGGCTGTGTTTAATTTTGTGCTTCCTTGCAAACATACAATCACTGTGCTATCTTTAGCTATGCTGTGGTGCAGCCTTGCCTCAGGAGAGACAGAACATGACAGCTGGTTTACATTTTCCTGGACAAAATGCACCGCTCAGGTTAGACACATTGTTTTCCTGAATTCTGTGGCATATCGTGCCATTCTTTGGTTAGACAACTGTCCTCTTGTTTTTATTGTTTTAAGGTTGGGGAAAGCAGAGATTTGTGGAATAGGTGGTTGACATGTGTAAGGGAGGGGACTGTTTGAAGGTAGGTGAACCTCTGCCCAGTCAGCTGTGTATGTGCCGAATGCCCGGATCTCATTCTGTTTTCCTGTCCTCTGAGCCCTGGTAGGTGTCAGTCTGCTGGAGTGGAGGTTCACACGGGTCTACCTACGCCACCACAGATCCTGATTTGATTGATCCTTGCAGTAGTTTTGGAAGTCCCTTGATGATTCTAAGTGAACTTTATGTGTGCCCTAGGAGGCTGACCAAATAGCTAGTTTCCAAATACAGTATAATAAAATGTAATATAATTTTCCTCCTCTCCCTTTCCCCCAAAGTGGCATATAGACCCATGGTAGTTATTTCCCAAATTGATAATTGTGTAAATTATATGGGCAGCAACAGCTGTTGCCTGGTATGGCACTGGAAGCCCAGCTTGTCCCTCCTTTCTGTCTTGTAATCCCCGTGTCCTGCGAAGAACCAGCTGTAGGTTCTGTGGATCTAGCTGCTGATCTGTGGATCCTCCCTCCAAGCCTTAGGCACTTTCCTTTGTCCTTGGGTTGACAGTCTTCCTCTTACCCTGAAGATACTTGGCTTTTTACCTTTGGTGGTATCAGTGCCTTTGTTCACTTGTCTAGTGATGGAATCTTTCTGTGCAGGAATCTTGAGTCTTTTAGGACAAATGCAGGCCAGAGAAAAATGGTATAGAGCAGCTCTGCACCTCAATCTCCCCCCCCCCCCATGAAGTCTGGAATTGTGGGATCTGGCTGGCATTGTCAAGCACCTGCTCTGTATGTAGTGTGGCAGGTGGCAGCAGTGCTCTACCCATCCTGGGGCTTCTGGGTATGACTCGGTGCCTCACATTTTGGTGAGCAGACAGGGAGCGGTGGATTGACCCATCATTCTACCTAGGATTCTGATGGCTTTGGCTTTTCATCCTGCCTTGATCCAGTAACTCTCAGTGAACATTTGACTCTGGCCATTCCAGAGAGGCAGGACTTAACAGTTTTTCCATCGGGAAACTAATCTGCAGATCTAGAAAATGTTCTTTAACAGCTCAAGTACTCGTATCTTCTCCTTTCTCAGCCTGGTTTCCCTTTCTGCTTGTGTCTCAGCCTGTTACTACTTGCGTATGTATATACATCCTGGGGTTTATACTCTCTTTGCACCTTTCTTTGTTGTGGTTTTTAAAATTTTTTTTTACTCTCAAGGTACATTACATTCTTCTGTGTATTTTGCCACACAACTTTAATATTTGTGGAACTTATCCTTCTCTGTCCCCTTTGATCTTTTTGGTTTAGTTTTGCGGGTTTAGAGTTGTATGCTATGAATTTCACAGCCATCGTCAGGCTCTGGTCTCTTCTTTACACTTCAGTAGTACTTTTCACCTAAAAGAAGTATTGTTTTTGAAGTGTGTCCAACTGTCTCAGAGAGGGCAAGTATTAAAGAGGCAGCTGATTGCTACATTGAAAAAAAAAAATGGGTTAGGGTTAGGGTTAGGTCCTAGCACTTCCTTGCTTATGTCCTTGGATTAGGAAGTCCAGGGCGTTTGGTGATGGGAGGCTGCGTCGTGGTGTAGGGCAGAACAGTGCAGCAGCTGTGATGCTGTGACCTCTGGAGCCACCGGAGGAGGAGTGGCACCTTCTGTAAACACAGTACATATATCTGTGCCTGCTTGAGTGGGCTCCGGTCATTGTGTGCTGTTGGCCTTGGATATCTTTTGAATTGGATGTTTAATACAGGACACACAATGTATAGGATTATCATACTCACCCAAAGAGTCACATGCAAAAGTGCATGGGAAATCTGTCTACACACTAGAAACGCAAAGAATCTAGCTGAGGACCTGAATCACATAGCAGTGTCCTACACAAGTCCAGCTGAAGATTTAGAGCCCATCTCAGTGTCCTTCACGAGTCCAGCTGGAGGCCTGGAGCCCAGGAAAATGTCTCATGCAAGTCTGTCGGATCAGGACTGGAAAGGCCCAAAGGTCAGTAGTGGAGGCTAGAAAATCTGTGCCAATGGGATGGAGGATCTGTGTCAGTGGCTGAGGGATCTGCGCTGAAACCAGGAAGCAACACAAAAGAGTTCCCCGCAAAAGAACTGTAACCATTCTCAGGGATAGTGAGGACCCTAGTTCATCCAACAATAAGAACAGCTTAGTTCATATCAGGAAAATCAGCGTGGTTAGCTTCTCCGGGAGAATCAACAGCACCACCTCTCCCTGCTCCAGTTTCTTTTTTATGCTCCCAGGAACAATCCTTAGGTGGGTCCTTTGCACCCAGAACCCCACTGATTCAGTTCAGCTGGCTGTTACAAATGACCGTAGTTAATCTTCTACAGGTGTCTAATATGTCTGTTGTGGCTTTCTTGAATCTCCGGAATATTTTGGCAGTGGGCAGACTAGGCTGGTTGAACAGAGGAGCACACAGTTATTTTAGTATAAAGATAAGAGCCTGGTTTCTTGTCACTTGGCAGCCAGGAAGCCTTTTCATTTCTAAGTCTGGAAAGTCTTTGGCTCCTTTGGATGACTGATGTCACTTCACAGAGTTGCGGATGGAGACAGGTCTAGTCTTCCTCATAAGGAGTGCAAAGTGAGTCAGCCCTTTCACCTGCCTGAATCCACTGTCGGTGCAGCCCTCCCAGGCTTCCCATGCTGCTGTGCTCCTTAGGGATGGCAGGGGGGCATACTGCCTACTCTTAGAGAGCCTGCGTGGCAGGTAGGAAGCTACACCTCTCCCGTGTGAGTGCTGCTCCCACAGATGCATGGCTTGCTGAGTGGGTTGTAGGCTGGATTTCAGGTCCTTCTCCCTCGCCCTCTGTAGCTGGAGAGTGTACTACTACTATATGTGATGTCAGGGTGGGGAGCAAGAGCCTGCTATTTATTTATGAGTATGAGCTCTAAGGCCTGTCTAGGTATGTTTGCTTATTTTTGAGACACTGAGAGGCTGTGTAGTCCAGACTGGCCTTGAACTCACTGTGTGGCCCATGGTTGCCTTGAACTCATGATCCTCCTGCCTCAGCCTCCTGAATGCTGGGATTATAGGCATGTACGCGTGGTGATGTGTGTTGTTTAGTACTTCTTTCCCAAGTGGTAGTGGCTACAAGTGGCTGAATGTCCTTGAAATTTTAGCTAGAGCTAGGAGCACTGTTGGGGAGAACAGTGAAACTTAACCTTTCCAAGTGGGAGAAGTACGTTCACCCTCCGCCAGATTTCCATTTAGTCCTTCCAGTCTTTAATCATCAAAACATCATCTTGGGCAACAGGACTCTTAATTCATACTGACATTCAAATCCTTCATTCAGAATTGTTTTTGGCATCGGAGTCCACCCTAGCTGTCTGTCAAGTGTAAGCCCTGTGAATACAGTGGGACACAGGATCAGCACAACCTTTCCCGTTGCTGAAGGAAGCTTAGGGAAAGGCACAGCACTGCTCCCACATCTGATCAGCTCTGTATGTGGAGCTCCACTCACAGGTGAGCCCTGCGTGACCTGAGATTCAGAGTGACTTCCTTCCCATTTTGTGTTTGAGCTTCCCTGCAATGGTATGAACTTCCATTCCACTTTTGAGTAATTTGGGCCTCAAAGCAAAGTGAGTCTGGGTTTAAATGTTGCCAGCTTTAGCTTATTAGCCCGGCAAGTTATTTCCCCCTGTGACCCTCAGTGTTCTCATCTCTATAATGAGAATTGTAATAGTTGTAACAGGATTGTTGTGAGGACCACATATAGAGATTTCTATAAAGAGCCCAGCACAATGCTTGACACAAGAGAAAGTTTACAGAGCGGTAATAATTTTTATAATCAACAAGAAACAACCACTACACTATTCTTCCTCCTTCCAAAGCAACAAGTATTTGTAAATCCTTATGCTTAGATTCAAATATGATTGCTATAAATATTGGCAAGAAAGAAAAAATTGTAGGTTTTTTTTGTTTTTTGTTTTTTGTTTTTGTACTGGGGATCGAACTCATGATTGCGCACTTGCCAGGCAGGCGCCTATGCCACTGAGCTAAATCCCCGGCCCAAATTGTAGTTTTTTGCTAAGTGATTTGTTTCATTCAGATGTTGACAGCTTTAATGCTGGGATTAAGATGAAACATTGTCCTCATGCCCAGGATCTCACATATATCTGGAGTTAATCACGGAGACTGATTACTAAAGAATAAATTTTACAAGTGCCATTATAGCTATCAGTGAAGTTAGCAATCTATTTTGGTAGTAGTTGATGTTTTTGGTAAGTATGAGACTGAAGTGTAGGTGGGGTGAAGCCAGGACTTCGGCGTTCTCCAGGTTAAAGTTTTGTCCTTAGAGAACTGATGGGGCCTCAGAAGGACCTACAGAGTGATGGTGAACCTTTTCAAGCTTTCCCTGATAGCAAGATACGTGCAATTGGTTTGTCACCACTGGGTAAAAGCAATGGCACAGAAAGGTGGAGTGAAGCAATGCAGAGAACTTGCCTTTTTAATCAAGGGTCACTGGCGGCCTTTAGTGTGATGAGGACAAGTTATTTCATTTTCTTGATCCTCATTTGCTTATCTGCCGAGAGGGGACACCAGCATCTCCCTTCATACTTAGGGCGTTGAGGCAGCAGTCCTTGGGATCATCTGTGCGAAAGCGCTTGTGGTGCAAAGGACTGTTGACACCTGGAGGGTCTGGCGCTGCCGAGGTGGGTGTCACTCTGTTCTAGTGGAGAAAGTGGCGGTCAGACCGGCTGGGGAGGAAACCTGTACTGCGCTCTCCCTCTTGTTCTTCAGTGAGCCTCTGCTGTTAGCCTAGCTCACTGTAACCTGTGCGTCTCCTCAGTAGCAGCAGATTTTGGAATTACATGCTGGTTTACCTACTTGTGTGTGTTCTCCTCTAGGCAGGAAGCTCCTTAAGGAGAGGTGCTCTATTTT